TATGGCGCTAAGCGCCTTCATAGCGCGCTTAACGCGACTCACGTTATTTCAGCCCCTATTTAAGTCACTTTTCAGCATTTTTTAGATTATGTTTTTGGAAACTTTTATCCCCAACTTCATCAAAAATATTCTTTGTGTAGAATAGCTTAGAAACAACATTGGAGGTTGCATAGCAATGATCCGGAGTTGGAATTGCGTCACTTTGCTGGACACGGCGAGAGATTACTCTTCATCTTCCTTCTTCTCTATGCATTTTTCATTTGTTTGAGTTTGTGTGTAAGTTTACTTTGATAGTATGTATATTTATTGATCATGGTGTTGCATATGAGCTATTTTACAAATCTTTATCGCTGTTATCCTTGTTTTACTCGCTTTATGTTTAGATTTGAGTTGCGGTAGACATATCCTCATCAAATCTGGATATAGGATGAACATGTGTTAGGTTCTGAACTCTAGAGATAGATTTAGATCTAACATTCACCGTGGGTATCGATTCTTAATGCTCCGTGTTGTCGAGTTGCGTGAGACATCATTGATGAGGTGATGCAGTTGTTCTCTCAACTTTGCGTTAGACATAACCTTTATTGTGAGCGACCTGTGGGGGTATTGATGAGTGATTTGGGTTGTGCACAACTGATTGGTAGGTTTGTGTATTAGATAGGTGAATGAACGTCATTTCTGATGATTTCTCTATCGTACTTTATTTACTTGCTCATATGTTTTCTGTGTATTTTACTCCCATACCATTAAAACCAAGCTTAGAAACGTAGAAATTGTCGAACGAAATTCTTTCTCTCGCACCGATCCCTGTGGAGACAACAAAACTGACTACTAAATTAATTTTTGCTTGCTGCTTTACCGCTTCAACAGCCTCACCTTCCTAGTTTTCCTGGTCTGCCTCCTCGGCCATCGATCCCCCATGTCCTTGCGCGATGTCTGCGATATAATAATGCCCATTGTGCCTCCGCAATAATGTCATCCAATAATCACCGCACAACAGACCGTTCAGGGAAGATACCCTCGTCAATGTCTGCCCACACAATCTCCACTATGTGATGACACCGAGGTAAGACATCCTCAGTATGATCTAGATGAGCCTACTCCTCCTATAGAATCTCTTGATGAGCAAGTCTTGACAGATCTCCTGGAGCAGTCGGTGCTATGGTAGCCCGAGCCTCATCTGATATCAGATGACTCTGATAATTAAGAAACATCTCGTCAATTTGTATACGAGTCAATGTAGGAGGAGAAGAGATAATAGGGTGTCTATGGATGGTTTGGATGTACCCGAATTTCCACATGACGCGCTTGGGCAAATGAATAGCAGTGATATATGATCCACAGGCCAACCATCCAGAGTATAGTGATATGTCGTCAAAAGGCCGCGTCTGACAGTGACCCACGTAGCAGTTGAAGTGGATGTCCTCGACAGAAAAGAAGTCAAGATAGACTCTGAAATGCTCAATTGCCTGGTTCCCTCTCAGAGGGATAAAAGCACAGGCACAAGGCATCTCTTCAGTGTACTCATCCTAACATGCCCAACCAGCGATGCAGGGAAGTGCTGCAGGATCCATGCCTGAAATGAAAATAAAAAGCATTCAAGGATCAATAATTATTTCAAATATGAAATGAAAATGAAAAAAAACATTCAAGGATAAAAAATTATTGCCACCAGTTGTGTCGTGCTGCCTGTGACCTGCTTCGTCCTCCATTGACATTCATATCTCAACTTCGAATACAGATAGGCCAGGCAAGCCGCCCCCTAGTTGTACTCATGGATTCATGTGAGAAAAGTATCAGATGTATGCAACGTCAGTATAGGTGACACTCGTGTCCACAAAAGTCACAGTGCCAACTAAATAAAGAAAATATTCTCTCAAAGCATGAGTCCCGTGTAAGGTCACTTGCTCGGCATCACCATCAACCTAACATGAGCACCCCTTGTCCTATCCACCTCCTCAAACGCGTTCCATAGATCAACCCCCCAAATGCTCCACCATCATATTGACTGCATCGTCTTTGGTTATCCTACCATGATGAAGGAATCTCCCCCTCATCGGAAGATGCAACAAAGACGACACATCGTCTAGGGTGATAGACATCTCACCACGCGGGAGATGAAAAGAAGACGTCTTAGAATGAAATCTCTCCACAAATGCATTAAGCATCCTGTGGTTGACCAGACTGTAACCGGTCATGTATAAGTCACACAACCTAGAAGCGGTCAGAACTGATTGAAACCATTGGTCTTCCGGCTGATGCAATGCTAAATTCTTCCTCCCATGGTTCATAAACTTCTGGGGATCACGCTCCTGCGAATTTCCAGAAATAATCACTGTTAGTAATAATCAATGTTAGAAATAATCAATGTCAGCAATCTAAATTAATGTAAAAAAATAAATGAAAAAATTACACTAATGTTACCTCTCTATTCCAGATATGTCTAACAATGTAGTTTGGATACAGAGAAAGTAAGGACATATAAGATGGACCCCCTCTGAAATCCTTTGGCTCGGCATCAGCAACCTCACCCTCCGGAGGTGGCACCGGTACATCAGGATCATCAGTAGGAGGTGAAAACGGTGCAACAAGTTCATCAGCAAAAGGTGGCACTTGTGCATCCCAACGTCTGCAGGGGGATGGGGGAAGTGACACATCAGTAGGTGCATCCTGTGGTCTGCGGGAAGAAGAAGTAAAAGGTGAAGTGGGCTGAGGAAGTGACCGTTAGTTGGTGCATCCTGTAGTATGCGGGAAGAAGAAGTTGAAGGTGGAGTGAGCTGAGATGTAGATGGAGTGGCCTGAGATGAAGGTCGAGCCCCAGAAGTGGACTGAATCTCAGGAGTAGGTTGTGCTCCAGCAGTCGATGCCTCTCCCTAACCAGAGGTACCTGTTGCCTTCGGAACCGACTGGCTCTGCTCTCGCCAAACAAATGTGTGCTGAGAAACCAGTCCATGCCTCAGTCGGTCGGCTATGTCAACCATTTTGCATGCAAGGTAATATTAGTCGTATAGTGAGTTTACGCAAAAGAACAACACGAACAATAATATTATAAAACAAAAAAAAAAATTGACTGAGGAAATTTCAGAGATATATCTATAGAAAAATTTCGAAGATGTATCTCTGAAAATTCCCAAAACACATGAAACTTTGATTTTTTTCGAAGATGCTTCTCCGAAATTTTCTAAAACTTAGATGTCGCGACAATGGCGTGCTCTGCCCCTCTTAATGTGAAATTTGAAGTCCTAATCATCCATTTGAGCCAAAAAAACAATACATACACTTACTCTAAACTATGTTTCAGCTGATTTCTAATCATTTATACACCTAACAATGAATTCTAACTCGTTTACAACAAAACTCGAATATTACCAAAAACTCGAAAACTTACCTGAAATTTATGATTTGGAAGATGTTGAATGATGAACTGGATGCTGCTTGATGATTACTTGAGCCTCAGACGAATGAAATCAAATTTGGTGAACTTAGAGAGTTTTGAGAATGAAAGAGTGAAAGAGTTTGTGATTGAAAATGAAAAGTCAGGGAAGAGAAGAAGAGTCTGACGCGTTAATATGCTCCAAAACATTTTGGAGATCCGTAATATTTCAACATTCAATTAAGATAACAGTTAAAATAGAAAAAAATAATAATTGTCTTTAATTATGCCTTCACATGTAAAAAAATAATAAGTTGTGATTTGATATAATTTTAATGTCTAAAATAAATACATATAAAAATAAAATTGTTAGATAAATAAGTTATTATTATAGTAATTTTTAAACATTTAACTTAACATTATCTCAATTATTTTAATATATTTTATTTAAAAATCAAATAAATGTCTTATGATTTATTACATTTGAAATTAAAATAAGTCACCTTAACTTTTTATTTGAAGATCTTAAGTCAATTTTCTTTGTTTTTTTTTATCATGTCATAATATCATATATGATATATTTTATATCAAGTAAATAATAATATTTTGCAAAACTACACCCGAAGTCCTTTAGTTTTTCTTAACAGGATTCTTAAGGTTTTTTTTTGTTGTTTTAACAATTTGGTTATTTATGTTATCAAACATGTGCACCATTATCTTTTTAATCAAGTGAAAGTGCTAATTGTAGATGTAATTATTTTAAATTGTATGAAAATGATAAAGTGCAACTAAAAATATATCAGTCACACATTTCTAAATGCTCAAATGTGAGAAAAATGATATAGAAATCACAATAAATGACCAAATTGTTATAAAAATAAATTTAAAGAACCAATCTGTTAAAAAGATAAACTTAAAAAAACTCTGGTGTAATTTTTATCTATTTCTTTATTTAGTTTATTAAAAAAATCATGATTGAATCAAACTTTTAGAAAAATAAAATGACCTGATCAAAAGATTTTCCATTCTAGGTCAAAACAAATTTTAAAAAACATAATCAAATTGAATTTTTTTAATTAATTAATTAGGCTTAATTGCAACTTTGGTCCCCTTATTTTGTATTTTTTTGAGTTTTGATCCCCCCATTTTAAAAACCACGATTTTGGTCCCTTTTTTAGGTTTCAAGATTGATATTAGTCCCCTTGTCATTTTAAGTCATGTTTTAAATGAGGTGACGCGTTGAATGCTGATTTGACATTTCCATGTAAGTTAAAATGGTCTGTTTAATTTTAATATAATTTTCATGTCATTAGCTTAAATATTATTTTATTTTCAGAAAATTAATAAAATAAAATTTAAATAAAAAACCCCAGCTCTTTCATCTTCAACCCATTTTAACAAACCCATTTCTTCAACCATTCATCAATTCCTATAGCCATTTCTTCAGCCATTTTTGTAGCCATTTCTTCAAACCCAGTTCTCATTTCCTCAACAAACCCATACCAGCCCTTCTGTAGCCATTAATTTGGAACCCAACGTACCTCCTAATTTGATTAATTTCACGTCTGTGATTGAAGGTTTGTGCAAAAGGGGTAGCATCAAGCAAGCATTTGAAATGTTGGAGGAGATGGTTGGTAAAGGTTGGAAACCTAATGTATATACTCATACGTCATTAATTGACGGTCTTTGCAAGAAAGGATGGACTGAGAAAGCGTTTAGACTGTTTCTTAAGCTTGTTCGCAGTGAAAATCACAAGCCAAATGTGCTTACATATACTGCTATGATAAGTGGGTATTGTAGAGATGACAAACTAAACCGGGCAGAGATGCTACTGAGCCGAATGAAAGAACAGGGATTAGTCCCAAACACCAACACATACACAGCTCTCATTGACGACCATTGCAAAGCTGGAAATTTTGAAAGAGGATATGATTCGATGAATCTAATGAGTAGTGAAGGTTTTAGTCCTAATGTGTGTACATATAATGCCATTGTTGATGGTCTTTGTAAAAGGGGAAGGATATAAGAGGCTTACAAAATGCTTGAGGGTGGATTTTATAATGGGTTGAAACCTGATAAAGTCACCTATAATATTCTCATGTCTGAGCATTGCAAACAGGCGAATATCAAGGAAGCATTGGTGTTATTCAATAAGATGATAAAAAGTGGTGTTCAACCTGATATTCATTCATACACCACATTGATTGCAGTCTTTTGTAGGGAAAATAGAATGAAAGAAAGTGAGATGTGTTTTGAGGAAGCTGTGAGAATTGGAGTTATTCCTACAAACAAAACTTATACATCTATGATATGTGGTTATTTTAGAGAAGGAAATTTGACCTTGGCAATGAAGTTATTCCGTAGGATGAGTGACCATGGTTGTGTTCCAGATTCTATTACTTATGGTGCTATTATAAGTGGGCTTTGCAAACAGTCAAAGCTCGATGAGGCTCGGGGTTTGTATGACTCTATGATAAAAAAGGGACTTACCCCATGTGAAGTTACTAGGGTAACTTTGGCTTATGAATATTGTAACGTAGATGATTGTTTATCTGCTATGGTTATTTTAGAAAGGCTGGAAAAGAAACACTGGATTCAGACGACTAATACCTTGGTCAGAAAGCTATGTAGTGTGAAAAAAGTAGGCATGGTTGCACTGTTCTTTAATAAGTTACTAGACATGGATGTTCATGTTAATCGTGTATCATTAGTAGCATTTATGACTGTATGCTATGAAAGCAATAATTATGCTCTTGTTTCGGATTTGTCTGCAAGGATACACAAAGAAAAATGTTTGGAAATCAAAGCCACAAAATAACAAACAAAAAATGTGCTATAAGAGCTTTGCAACCCTTTTAGGCCCTACCTAGCACCACATGAAGCATTTTGGCAAAACTCTAAGCACAAAGAACAAAAAAAAACCTAGATGCAAGAAGCAACTCCATAGGCCATATTAGTGTCATATGCAAAAGTGTTACATCTCACAATGTTATGGAATATAAACAGTACAAAATTGTAACTAAAGAGGCCATATCAGACTGTACTAACTCAACAATTGAAGGTACACACAAGTTGTACACATAATAACAAGCAGTAAATTGTAACTAAAGAGGTAGTTGTGAAAACTAAAGAGTGTTAACATGTTAACAAAATTGTTTTGGCTGATATCAGAATACTATTTCAGAGAATTATTCATGAAACACCAAGATAAACACCACAATATTGCAATAGGATCACTGTTATTCTTTATGTGATACAACAAAATGTTAAATTATCAAAAATTCATTCATTTTCAATTCACAGTGAATGTATACATTACGTGTTTTGGCTCTTGCAACAGAAGTTCAATTAACAGTGAATGTATACACTTCATAACAGCAGTTCAATTATAATGGATCAAAAACCTGTTGGTTCAATTATAATGGATCAATTATAACAACAGTTGCAACAGAAATTCATTCATTTCATAACATAACAGCAGTTCAATTATAATGGATCAATTATAACAGCAGTTGCAATCGAAATTCATTCATTTTCAATTAACAATGAATGTATACACTTCATTACATTGACAGCAGCATTAAAGACAACATATTTTAACAAAAAGACATTGAGTTTTTTTGGTCATAACATATGCCAGAGCAGCATCACAAAAAGTAAAGCAAAACATAGAACTATTCTTGGGTTGGTGGCGGCGCTTGCGACCCTCCGTCTACAACAGTTTCTCCCGCTTCCTTGCCCGACTTGTCACCCTTTTTTTTTAGATTTTTTGTTGCCACCTTTAGGAATCACTCTCTCCACAGCTCGCTTCCCTTTACACGTTCGTTTTTTATGGCCAAAACTCCCACATTTCTTGCACTTGACAGTTTGAAGAGTTCTAGGTAGTGTATTTCTTATCCTCGGTTCATCATTCGCCTTGTTACGATTCTTCTTAGGACGACCGATAGATCTTCGCATGACTGGAGGGCTGATTGGGTTAGCAACATTAATAGGCCATAGTTGTGGGCCATTGGTTGGCATGATGATATGGCTATAAGTAGCCAGAAAAGTAGATTTCCTAGACAATATGACACAATGATTTTAGTTAACATACAAAAAAGATGAATGTAAATAAACATAATATACGAGTAGGTGATACCTATAGAATGATGAAACATAATCTTTGGGCTCCTTCTTGTTATACCATATGCATGCAATAGCATGACAACACGGTATTCCACTTAAATCCCGCTTCCTACAACCACATTTCTGTTGAAGCAAGTTCACAGCATATGTCTTAACACCGTTTGAAACTCTAAATATAGCAAAGTCATCATCTGCATGCCATGTTGCAATCCATCCTTCTGCTGCCCTTTTTGTTTTTTCCAAGACTTTTTGAATACTAGGACTTGTAACACCTGTGTACCTACTTAATTTCTCCTTTTGAGCAGATATTCTCGCTATTATGTAATGTTTGATTCCTTCAAGTAGTGAAATGATCGGCTTATCTCTATACTCCAAGATTGCACGATTAAAAGCCTCACACATATTGTTCACTTGCAAATCACATTGTGTGTCTGTTTTGAAATGAGACCGAGTCCAACATGCAGCTGGGACATCCATCGTGTCTTTCCAAGCATTGACATTGAGCTATTTCATATGATTCATTGCTCTTTCCCATGCCAGAATTATTGTGGCTCTAGCTGCCCGCCATAAAGCTTCCTTCATAAATATCCTAGGATATTTCTTTCTCCAATTGCCATACAAGTGTTTAACACATAGTCTGTGTTCAACATGTTGGCTTGTCTCAAGAATATCCGGTACCAATCCCTGAAATAACAGAACATATCAGTATATAACAACAACAGTACCAATTATGTAACAGCAGCAGCAGTACCAATTATGTAACAGCAGCATCACATATCAAATGAGCAGCATATAAGTACCAATTGTATATAGCAGTATATAAGTACCAAATTATAAGTACTAAATCAACCATGAGCAGCATATAAGTACCAATTATAAGGACTAACATTCTAGCCAAGTTCCAATAATAAACGATGGAAAAATACATGATTTTTTCAGCAAACCTCAATGTTCAAATTTTGGAACAGATTGATTTTTTATCCTTTAAATTCTAGCATTCTATGGCATCCCACTAGCATTCTAATAGCATTCTTAAATTCAGCAGCAGTATCCTTTAAATTTTGGAACAAACTTATGTTATATTTGCAAGTCTCCACTTGCATACTGTGCTACTTCTGCATTTCCATATAAGTACCTAATTGCAAGTTCTAACTACTGGCAACCAGTTATCTAACTACTTTCCCATTATCTAACTACTGTCAACCAGCAAGCAACATGTCAACAGCATTGTAATAAATAGCAGCACTGTAAAACTAACCTTCTGTTGATTTGATATAAATCCATATTTGTTGTCTTGTATAGATTGCAAGTCTTCTAATAATAAATTAAGGAACCATTTCCATGATTCTTTCGTTTCAGCTTTCACTACAGCATAAGCGATTGGATAAATCTTGTTATTTCCATCCTTACCAATAACACCTATTAACTGACCTCCAAAATCCCCTTTAAGAAAACAAGCATCCAGTCCTATTAGAGGCCTACACGTCGTTGCAAACGCTGCCTTACAAGCTTCTAAGCATACATATATTCTTTCAAAGATAGGACCACCATCTGAATCAACACACTTAATTTTAATAGTGGAGTTTGGATTTGACTTTAACAACTCCTCACCATAGCTTCTAAGATGTGTGAATTGTTCACGACCAGCACCTTGAATCAATTCCATTGCCTTTTTCTTGGCTCTATAAGCTTGATCCTTTGACAACTTCACCCCCCACTTCTTAATAGCTTCTGCAATCAGCCCTTTGTTTTTATTTCAGGAGTGTGTCTTATGGTGTACACAAATTGGCGACCCAACCAATCCATTTTTGCTTGTCTATTTTTGGTTGTCCTATGACAGCCATGACAATCAGTCAAGCTAACAAGTTGCCAATATTGATTGGTAGTCCTCATGCTAAACCTAATATGAAATGGACAACCATCTACACACTTGACAACCATTCTCTTCTTGTCATTTTTCTTAAATACAAGATTCTTCTTGTTCTCCATTGCATACTCCTTTATGGCATATTTGATTTGTTGTTTATCCTTGAACGTCATCCCTACTTCAAGTTTTGTGGGTTCCCTAAAGATTGGAAACTTTGTCGTATCACCTTCAGCATCACTACCGGGTGGAGTTTGAAGCACATCTGAATCACTACCATTATCGGAATTATCATCCAACTTTGAAGGTTTTTCTGCATTAGGTAAAACAGTCTTCCAATTTATACTAGCATCAACACCTAAATTCATCACATCAATTTCATCTTCCAAATCTTCATCCTCTTCCTCGTCATCCTCACTGCCCATGCTATAATCTTGATCTGTTTCACTCTCGTCATCAACATTAACTCTAACCTCTTCATCTACTCCATCAACACTAACCTCTTCATCGTTTGCTCCCTCGACATTAACTTCATCGTTTGCTCCCTCAACATTTACTTCATCATTTGCTCCCTCGACATTAACTTCACCGTTTGCTCCCTCGACATTAACTTCATCATTTGCTCCCTCGACATTAACTTCATCATTTGCTCCTTCACCGTTTGCTCCTTTACCATTGCCTTTTTCACCATTATCCTCCTAAAAAATAACATCCTCAATACTTATTTCTTCAACTTTGTGTTCAACATAAAGATCAACTACCTTAAATCCTCTAACATCCTCCATTAACCTTAAGACATCATAATCATTGTTAAGAGGCCGAAGTCCACGAGAAAAGGAAAAATTAGGATTCCAATACCATAAACACTTTATATTACGATACCCCTCACTCTTGATCAAATCTTCAATTTGCATGTAGGACATCAAGTCCACATCCCAATCCCAATTCATTTCAGCTACAAGCCCATCAACATACAACAGAACTGGATTCTAAATTAAATGTCCCCTATGGTGTACTCTAAATCTGACAGCTTCGGTATCAGAGGGCCTACAAAACACAAACGATAGTTTCTGAATTAAACCATAGATAAAACCGGGAGTTGGTATTAACAATTCATATGCTATGACAGAACACAAACGCCATTTGCATGTTTAGGGTTTTTGTATTCAGAGGTGAGTTACGAAACATACCTCGACATGTAACTTCGGTTTGCCATTTCAGAGACGACGGGAAGCAAGTTGCGGTTTGATTTGAAGATGAAAATGGGTTACAATGGGAAGAAGAACTGGGTTTGCGGTTTCATTCGTTCATGAAGAAATGGGGTTTTTTATTTGTTATAAGAACTGAGTTACAATTGAAGATGAAAATGAAATAATATCCCTATTAATGGGGTTTTTTATTTAAATTTTATTTTATTAATTTTCTGAAAATGAAATAACATTTAAGTTAATGACATGGAAATTATATTAAAATTAAAAAGACCATTTTAACTGACATGGAAATGCCACATCAGCATTCAACGCGCCGCCTCATTTAAAACATGATTTAAAATGATAAGGGGACTAATATCAATCTTGAAACCTAAAAAAAGGACCAAAATCGTGATTTTTAAAATTGGGGGATCAAAACTCAAAAAAACACAAAATAGGGGGACCAAAGTTGCAATTGAGCCAATTAATTATTTAAAAGAAAAACACAATCAAAATGAATTTTGTTAATTAATTTTCATTAAAGTTATCAGTATTCAATCAAAACATGGGATATTAAAGAATTTAACTTAAAAAAATCAATAGGCCAATCAAATTTCCCCCCTTTTTAATTGATTTTCTAGGTAAAGAAAATCCTTTTATAAACTAAGTGCCAGTTTTTTCAGAACAAAAACCATGTTATTCATGGGATTAGAATTGGGATTCAGAAGAAAAATCAGATATTTGGAGAGATTCTGCTTAATGTTTGGTTTGTTTTTGTTAATGAATTTTCATGGTTTTGTGTCTTTTTTCCTTCTATAATCTATATATCAGATTCGTTTTCCATTTCTTTTTTTTTAGAGAGATTATGCTTTGATAATGCTAGATTTGTTGTATGAATGAATTGTAATGATAATTAATGAAGGAAATATGTACAAGTTTTTGTTTATTATATTCTTAATTGATTTAGATTTTATTTTAATTTTCATGATTTTATTGTTTTTATATCAAAAGCATCAGATATAAATTACATTCTATTTTTATAAATATATATTTCTTCATAATTTAGTTTAGTTTTCTGTTTTTCTAAATAAATTATTTTTTTATGAATAATGTTTTTTATTTTTTATTTATAAAGAAATGTTTTGTTTAATTAATATATAAGAAAAAAATAAAATGTAAAATAAGAGGTGAAAATGGTCATGTCACGCAAAATGTGCCACGTATTTATAAAAAATTATATATTTAAACTTTTTAAAATAAAAAAAATTAAAACTGTTTAAAAATAAAATAAAACAACTGATTTTGTGAATTAGTTATAATTAAAGACTAAAAATATAATTTAACTTAATTATTATTACTACATGTTAATCACACGAAATAAAGTTGAATTATTTTATTTTCACCTTCTTTCGTAAATATGTAATTTTTAGGCATTCAAACTTTTAACTTTACATTTTTTTTACATTATTTTTTACTAATATATATTTATTATTTTTAATATCAAAATTTGTCATCAATGTTTAAAAGCCGGACGGTTTTTGGACCGGAAATTAAAGTTAAATCTAATCCATTAAATCTTTTAAAACCGTTAGTGAATCAGAATTGAGTAAAATCATAAAAATCTAATTGAACAGTCCAAAACCGTTTGAATCAAAAAATCAGAACCAATTTTATAAAACCTCTTTGCTAAAAAAAATACATCAAATTGATCATTTTAATTTTTTTTGAAAAGTTTAATATGTCAATATCAAATTTTAAATCATTCTCTATTATTATTTGGAGGGATTACAAAAAAACGGAATTGAACAAAACCGGATGAAATCTCATTTCATCACTTTCTGCTATTTTTTTATCCTCCAATTTAGATAGAATAACAAAATTTCTATATTCCATTATAAAATATACCAACATTCATTCCGCTCAGCTTGATTCCGCTCCATTTCCTTCCACTACATTCATTTTATAATATCCAAACTTAACTTAAATTTTACTATCAATCTATTATAGTTTTTTTCTTAAAACCACACTCTTTAGGAGAAAGTAAGAATTTTAAATCCTAAAATAAAAAAAATGGAACAATTTTATAATCCCAAGATGCTTGTATAGCCTCCCAAATGGTCCACCCCAAACTCAACTTTATAAATTAGCATAATGCAATGAAAGAAAGCAATATAGTAGAAAGGCCCAAAAGCATTCACAAACGAGACTCTCCCTCTCTTTTTCCTTTCTTTATTTCTTTCTCAATAATCCCTCTTTCCTTTTGCTCTGTTTTTCATTTGACAGGACATGGCCAAAATTCCCAGCACAACAGTATTCTCTACGAAACACTTGTTAGCATTATCACTCGCTTTGAATGTGAGCTTCATACTGCGAATGCTCTATGAAGGTGAACAAGTACGCAACGTCTCTTGTTTCAAAAATGGAACAGATTTTGACTCAAAAACACATACTAATATCATCAAATCACGTGTTGTTATGTCATCATCTACTTCATCTTTGGCAAATTCTACATGCACTGACGTTAAAGCACGCAGCAACAAAATAATCAACCTCGATCAGTAAGTTTAACATAACATTCATTCTTGTTCAAAGTTATTTTTTGTTATGATACATAGTGTTTTGATAATTCACGTTTGAATTAGGTAACACGACACCTCTGATAAAAGATGTGTCTGTATCTGTGTCAGTAGCATTGATATTTGTTTTTATGTTTAATTAATTAATTTTTTAAAAATTATTATCGATAATAATCGCTTATGATTGAGCGAAAGGGAATATTACTGGTTGTCTCTGTTGGGGTAGCTAGGACAGGACAGAAGTTTCAGGCTTCTCTGCTCTAGTTTCAAGAATAGACAGAGATAAGTCATTGTCTTTAACGTGCATTTTTCGTCACAACACAAATAGTGTCAAAATTTTGTTTCATTAGTTTTTGTTATGCATGCTCTATTTAAATCAATCTTATTTTAAAATTACTCTCAACTTTTATGTTTTTCAACTCTTGAAATCACTTTTAACTTCTGTTCACACTGTTACTATTTTTTATTTATTTAGAAACTTTCATATTTGGTTAAATAATATTCAAAATGATACATTTAAAATTTTATCAATTATTATAATTGATACGTAATTACTATGTTTGTAATTACAATATTTGGTTAAATAATATTCATAAGTAGACAATATAGTGGAAGGATTACCTTAAATTTAAACTTAGTTCATTTGTTTACTAAACCTTTAAATATAATGCGGTTCCACCGTAAGTTTTTCTGAAGCTATAGCTAGTATAGCTTTTACACACCTTGCGGTCCACGGTTCTTTTTTAAATTTAGGCCAAGTAGATTAGAGATAGGTCCTCTATAGGGTAGTGACATTCATAGGTAGCACCACTACACCACCACTATCAACGACTCCCCTGTTGACATTTTTCTATAACAAAATCATCATATACATTTTTAGGCCAACCTTTTAATCTCCATTTAAATTATTATTTTTATTATTTCACATTTTAAATAGACTGCATGAACCAAGATATACCCTTTCATGATCCTATCATATGAAACTGTTTTTTGTGGGTGTTTGAGTGACATTAGATTTTTATAACTTTTTTTGTGGGTGTTTGAGTGACATCATTCAATCGTATAACTTTTTAAGTGCTTTTTAATCATTCAATTCTCTCCTATTACCACATGGTTTATTGAATCTGAATCTATAATTAATCACTTAATTTGGGTCCTACATAAATGGAACTCCACCTCCAACGTCTTTTGTCGTATTACCTTTTTCCTTTGATCTGAATCTCATAAATTCATAATTGTCAATGCATTATACATTACACATCTTAATTTCATTCTTTGCATCATGTATGTGGACACTTGAGTTTTTTCTTTTATTTCCCATAACCTGACACATGTAGATGTACCCCCCTTATTAAATACTCACCTTCTTATACATGTTCATTGTTCCTTTAACTAATCGAAACCGATCCAAAAATAATTATTACTCCTTTATTAACTCAGATTTGGAGACAGAACTAGGTGATTTTTGGCACTACAATAGAAGGATGGTCCATACTTTTGTCTTGTGTCCATCTTATGTCCCACTAAAGTTTATAAATCAATGTATCTGAATTACGTATAGTTTAGATATATTAATTTTTTAATTAATTTAAAAAACAAAATCTTTATGATAATTCAGATATATTAATTATTCAATTAAGTTGACTTGAATAAATTGCAGTGGCAATCCGACAATGTATGAGAAATTTTGGAGACAAAGCGGTGACAAGACAAATATAATAATAAGAGGATGGCAATCCATGAGCTATTTTACGGATGTGTCCAACATATGCTGGTTTCTTGAACCTGAGTTTGCAAACGAGGTAATGAGGTTGCACAGAGTGGTCGGGAATGCAGTAACTGAAGGACGTTACGTTGTTGTAGGGACAGGTTCCTCTCAACTGTTTCTTGCTGCTCTATATGCCCTCTCATCTTCTCATGCAACTCAACCAATCAACGTTGTCTGTGCCGCACCCTACTACTCTGTCAGTACGCTTTTCTTGTTCTTGGTTATTATGCATGTTGTATGATTCATCAACAATGAATACATGGATTGATTCTCTTGTCTATTTTTAGGCCATGTGAGAGATTCTTCTCAAATGGACATTAGTTAATTATCACATTCAATGCATTCCTATTTCCTACCATTTTTTTATTTATTTTCTGTCTCCTGTTATGGAGTAGTACTACTGTTGCACGTATAGTTGTTGCTTCTTTTGTTCAAGGGTCACATGCCTTAATTTGACCATTTGACAATAATCTCTGGCATGTTTGGTGTCTGATACGCATCAGGCTAACACTGACACGACATCAACACATTTGATATATTCAATAACTTAATTTTTTCAAATTATTATTCACGATGATGTTAGTGTTGGTGTCGTGTCTAATGATTTTTAATATTACTTTGCAATTTGCATTGCAGTCGTACCAAACAATGACTGAATATCTGAAATCCGGGCTATACAAATGGGGAGGCGATGCAGAAACTTATGAGAAAGATGGTCCCTACATTGAACTGGTAACTTCTCCGAATAATCCTGATGGACATGTGAGGACCTCTAAGGTTAACCGTAGTGAGGGACTTCTGGTTCACGACCTTGCATATTACTGGCCGCAATACACTCCTATAACATCTCCTGCAGATAATGATCTAACCCTTTTTACTCTCTCAAAAATCACTGGTCATGCAGGAACGCGCATAGGGTAAGTTAGATATAATATAACTCCGTAAAACCATAACTATCTATAATAAATTGAAAACTAAAGGAACGCTTCCACTTTGTACTTTTAGGTGGGCTCTTGTGAAAGACAAAGAGGTAGCAAAGAAAATGACCAAGTTCATAGAGTTGAACTCAATCGGAGTCTCAAAAGATTCACAGCTCAGGGCTGCTAAGATTTTAAGCACGGTTTCTGATAGCTGCGAACAAGAAAACTCTAAAGAGGGTGATTCATTCTTCGAGTTCAGCCAGAAGCTCATGACAAACAGGTGGAAGCAGCTAAGAGAAGTAGTGAACCGTGGTGAATTGTTCAGTTTGCCTCAGTTTTCTCCTTCTTTCTGTAACTTTTTCAATCAGGTGTCGGAACCTCAACCAGGTATATACTATATACTATATACTTAGTTGAATATTTTGATGTAGATTTCTTGTAGTAGTGTTTATGTATATAATGATATACTTTGCAGCTTTTGCGTGGTTGAAGTGTGAGGGAAATGTGGAAGACTGTGAAAGCTTTCTTAGAGAACACAAGATCTTAACCAGAAGTGGAAGACACTTTGGAGTTAGTCCAAAATATGTAAGAATTAGCATGTTGGATACTGATGAAAATTTTAGCCAGTTTCTAGAAAGACTATCTAGCATATAGTCTATGTAATGCAAATTTAGTCGTGTGTTGGGAAGTGAACAGCTGCAACACAGTTTTGGTAGTTCATGTGTACTAATACATAATATGTATAATATGTATGGGGATCAGATCATAAACTTAACCTGTTTTATTCATAATAAAAGCATGGATACAATTTGAAAAAAAGTTAGGTGATCATAATAGAAAAAGTATGAAAATCGATTTTTTGTTGTTGATACATAATAATACTGAAGATGATACCGCAAATGATATTATTCTATATGATTGAGAGTGTGTTGAAAATGAGTTAGATGTAACATGCTAAAGGAGTAGAAGGACTGCTTGTTTATGGTGGTGTAATAGTTATGTAAGAAGTATTTTGATTTTATATTGGTGTACCTGTATTTATTTTAAATATAATTCATACTTCCATTTTAGAAAATATGACATTTGATTAATCAATAATTTTGTTATAAGATGATAATCTTAAAAACTAAACATACTGAAATAGAATTGTGTTTAGGTAATTTTTGTGGTTATGATGAATTGAACGCTAAATCTCACATTTTCTTTTCTATTTTTTAATTTTGTCGATTTTGATACTAATGTGGGTATCTTTTTTTTCTTTCTTTTGCATGGACTCATTGTGGCTAAGAGTAGCATCTTCATAGGGAAACCAATAGTCTTTATGAGAAACACCGAACAAACTTTTTTTGTACCCATTAAAGACGTTAACAATTTTGTATACATCTAATACGTGCACAGAGTAGTCTTGACGAATACTAGAATATTTTGCAATAACATTTGAGCAACACACATAGAAAGTTTGAAATTTCTCACTGTCACACCTTCGTCTTTGGAGATCGGCGTTGAAATGTCTGATTGGTTGTCCCTTAATAGTACGGATAAATAAAACTATTACTCAAGTTAACAATTTTTTGTGTGATGTTCTTTGTCTTTAAACATATGAAAGAAGCTCTGAGCAATGTGCCGAATACAATACACATGTCTAAATAAGAGATATTTCCAACCATTACAAGATTTTTATATACACTATTTATAGATTCATGTATGTCTGATGAAGTGCGACATGCGTTTAATTTTTTAAAAAAAGAAACTTCAAGCACCACCTATCTCACCTTTAACCAATCCTAAAACTATTGAAAAATGTTATCATTTCCATCTTGTTTAACAAACATTAACAACGTCTCTTTATACATAGCTTACAACCATGTTGTAAGTTATAAAAGCACCTAAGAGGATGGTGAATTAGGTGTTTAGATAATTTATCTGATTTTTTGATGGTTCTGATTTTTACTTTTCTAGAAAGTTCTAAGTGAATAAATGTTGTAAATGCGGAAAATAAAGAACACCAGGAAGTATATTGGTTCCCCTCACAGGTCGAGAGTACTCCATCCACTTTTAACATGAAAGAGATTTTACTATAATGTTAGATCTTAGACAATACAACTTAGTCTTTATAAACTAGATGCTAACAACTCACCAAGAACAATCCTCTTGGATTTTACAAGTTTAAAGTCCAATAAAGAACAAATCTCTTACAATGGACCTCTTGTATCCACAATCCGGATAACAAGGATTTTGTCACACCCTATACGAGAAATAATCTTTCTCCTTATAGTCAGTACCTAAATACAAACAATACTTGGAATTTCAGGATTTTACAATAATTATGAGTTTTGAATAGGTAGATGAAATTTTGATATCAATCACAAGATTGATCTTCTCAGTAATACAAGTGATAACAGAGAACACAGTAATACAAGTGTTCTCTGTTATGCAAATGAAACTATGATGATAAATATGAAAATTTATGCAGAGTTTCACTTAAAAAAACTGAAGAACACTTTGAAGGTTTTTGAAGATTGAGAGAAAATGAGAGATGATTTGAAATTTTGTAAGGAGGTGAGGTGTAAAAGACTTGAAATGATGTTTATATATGCCTATGACACCTCTTCTGAAAGTCACAAATCATGAAAGGATGACATGGTTGATCAAACACAATAACATAAAAAATTATGAAGGGATGCAGAAGAATTTTTGGTTCTGCTTCAGCGGTAACCAATTACTAGATAAAGGGTAACCGGTTACTTGACTGTAACGTATAAGAAATTTGAAATTTTTGAAAGGGTAATCAGATACCTTATAGAAAGTAACTGGTTACTTCAAAATAGATTTGAAAAAAAATGTAAAAACAAGTTTCAAAACCATTTTGTATGCAACCAAAAAGTGTTATTGAGGATCATGACATAGAAAAAGAATATGTTGAATACTTGTATCAATGCATGAGTTTAAGTGTTATACATTTTCCTTTGAGCTCCAATCTTCATAGTGCTTGATATTTGATCTTTGAGCCTGAGACTTGATCAATCCTTTTTGTTCATTCATCTTGACTTTATGAGAAGCTTTGTAGGTGAGTCTTCATCAAAACATCCGAGAAGCCATGTCTTCACATTCTCCCCCTTTTTGATGATGACAACCAAGCTTTGAAAGTTTGAATCAATTTGAAATAGTCTTATGTTCTCTAACGAGCTCCCCCTCAAACTAATATTTGAAGGAGCTTTGAAATTCTGCAATTTTGTTAGAGAAAACATACAAGCAATAAAGACAATAAATTCTTTTCCCTCTTTGTCATTAACAAAAAGGATGGGAAAATACATTAACTGAAAATTTGTTTAGAGCAATATACCAGAGAAATAAACCATTGCAAGTGTTAGATGCCCAATTATGCTTATTTGAGCTATCAAATGTGGGCATCTTTCACTCCTTTTTTGTCAAGAAAGTGTTCAAAATCACTTTTGCTTTGGTTGGTTTGCAACTTTGTGTGAAAGTATCTTGGTACCTTTAATTTGTATGCTATTGTGCAGGAATTTGACATGAAATAGTGAGAATTAAGACACAAGAAAGATGGCAAGGAAACCAAGACAGGAAGCAAACATTAGCAAGTTCGCTAGGCGAATTGGCCAGCGAAGCCCCCTCCAAAACTTCACAAAGTTCGCTAGGAGAACTATGTAGCGAAGGCCAAGAATTCAAAACAACAAGGAAAGAGCAATAAACTCGTTAGGCGAGGGAGGCAGCGAGTAACCAGCGAACACTCCCAGACTTAAAACAGCAAGGAAAAGGCCATAAACTCGCTAGGTGAAGTTCACAGCGAAGGATTACTCGCCTAGCGAACTTTTGGAAACTTGTCTGGGGAGAGTCCACAGGGCACAGGCACTTCAGGTGACACTTTTGGGGTTCGCTAGGCGAACCACTTTGTTCGCCTAGCGAACATGACAACTCAGGTGACTCTTCTACAAGTAGCATGGGCTACTTTTTGTAAAAATATCTTTTTTCTTGTACTTGCATTTGAGAGGATTTTTCTGACCTAGAAACTCATTCTTTCATTTCTCATCATCCCTTAGTAATATTTCACCAAAAGAAGGTGGATTCCCATTCATTCTCGATTATTCGACTTGGATGTTGACCAACCTTCTTCCGAAACTTGTTGCTCAAGCTATCATGGAAATGAGTGGCTAAATCCCTCTCTTGTCAAGGTTAGGAGTAGTTAGTTCAGATTTTATGTATTCTTCTTAATCTCTTGTATGTGAACAATGTTATGATCAATGTAGATGAAGTTATTTGCTACTATTTGTACATTTATGGTTTGGAATGCTTTAGACATGAACTTTACAAGTCTTGACCTAATATCTTCATCTATCAACTATACAAATGCTACATATAGATTTGAAAGTTGATATCCGCGTTGTATCGATCTTAACGATTATTATTTCGATTGTTATTTAGAGAGATCATCTAACGGTCGAAACAATAACATCCACGAAATCGCTTTAGAGATTAACGTTTTTGCGAGGATACGCGATTATGTTGGTTAGAACTTCATTCACATATTTAATTGGTTGGATACGTTTAGAACGGACTAGCGAACCCTAATCTTGGCATACTTTTATCAAACTTAGAGCGACTTTTATTCCGTTTTAAATCTTGCAAACTTATGTTACGAAATTGAAACCATTATAAAAATCCACCTTTTTCTTAAGTCATTAAACCGTTGAACGACAAGCATCTATATTCTCTTCAATCCCTGTGGATACGATAAAACACTACCGCAAAATACTATCTAACAGCACGCAGATTACTTTAACCAAATTCAATAAGATGCAATACCAATATCCAGAAATAACAGGAAACATAATCGCACCAGAAAAACATAACAACATGTAAAAGAAATTATCACAGAAATTTAGTCATCCTTAGCCATATGGTCTTCTTCTCCCTCTCCACCTCCATCATCTTCATCTTCATCTTCATCACTATCCTCAATAACAGCTCGGGAACGGTTCATAGATCTAAACATTTTTCTAAGGGCATTAATTCCTCGAGTTGTTTCGCGATGATTTTTGTCCATTGTTTCTTTGATGGAGCGGATTTCACAATATAAGAGTTCATTTGTGATGCCGCCTTCAGGGATAGGAGAGTTTTGAGGAGCAAGCTCTTCTTTGTACCGGAAAACCCCATTAGGAGCAATAACAATGTCGGGGTTTTGGTCACCATTATCACATTGATTTCACACACTTTTGCAGTCATTTCCGTTTTTGGTTCCCTTTGAATTAAGACATCCTTGTATTCAAAGAACCTAGAGATTATGCGAGCATACGGTAATCCGCTGTTGAGGGAGAGTTGATGCCGCATATTATGCACGATGATGTACACCTAGTTAATCTCTTTATTCATCTGCAAACACCTGATTAGCTCTATTTCTAGCTCAGTGACCTGTGAATGATTAGAGTGTTTTGGTACTAGAAATATGCCAAAATATAATGAAGCATTCGATCGCTCACAGTTAGAAGATTTGCATATTTAACTACCCTGCTAGAGTTATGAGATTGTTTACTCATAACATCCTCATGATTTCCTCTACAGATAGAAACAAAGGAGTCTAAGTTGTCAAAGTTTTTCCAAAAGGGAAGGTCTAGAAGAACCTCGTGACGAAGTTCTTC